CACTGGAAACATGACTGCTTCGATCGCCAGTTCCACTGGTATCCGCATTGCCGACATGGTACATACTGGGTTTTCGTCATGGGGTCGCGAACCCCTGGCCACTACTCTGGAGCGAGCAAACCGAACAATCACACACGCCTCAATCTCTCGAGCGAGGTTGGAAGTTCAGGAGCAGGCCCCTTGAGCCAAAATGGCTACGGGAGGAGGAGGAGGAGGAGGAGGAGGAGGAGGAGGAGGAGGAGGAGGAGGAGGAGGAGGAGGAGGCACCTCCGCCCGAGCTCGCCCTCTGACCTCCCCCTGCCTCCCACCTTCCCCCCTCGAGCCCGGCGGGGCCTCAGGCGCGGGTGCGACTGGCATGCGGCAGGGGCACCGCATGGCCCTCGACATCCGACGAAAAGCTGTTTCACGGCGTGGCTCCCCAGAGTTAGGAGGCAACTACTGGGAGTTTTCGTCGGAAGGATGAAAGAGGATTAAGCACCATGGGGGGGCTGTTACGCCGGAGTGGGCCTCGGATTAAGCCGGATTAAGCGGGATTAAGCGGGCTTGAGCTGGATTAAGCGGGATTGAGCGGGATTAACCCGGATTTCGGACCAGGGCAAAATCAAAATTTGACCTACCAGGAATTGCATCCGAGGTCTGGACCCCTGTCGAGGGCCGGCTTTTCGTCCTGAGCCGTTTCTTGGCGGTGAGAGCCCCTATAGGGTCCCAGAGGCCGGAAATATCAGAAAACCTTCAGTCGTGACTTTGTCACTACGGTCAAGAACTTGTGTTTAGCATGTCGCGGCGGCGGCCCCGGCGACACTGGCTCACACGAAGATCTGCACGGATGCAAGTCTAAAGAGGCCCCCTGGATGGGGGCCGGAGTAGATGGTGTCGGAGGATCGCGACGCATCGCCGATGCATCGGCGATGCGTCGGCGATGCATCAGCGATGCACCGGCGATGTATCAGCGAGGTCGGCGATACGTCGGCGACCTCGGCATGGAGAAAATCGGGCTCCGCATCGAGCCGCATCGCCGATGCATCGGCGATGCGGCGCGATCCTCCGACCCCATCTGCTCCGACCCCCTCCAGGAAGCCCAGAAAGTCAGAGGCTGGAGTGCTGGGGTGGCGTCGGAAGCTGGAGTTCTGCGGCTGGGCAGCGCTGGGGGCGGGGGGCGGAATCGACCCAGGGAGGGAGGCACCGCGCTGGGCTCGGCGGCACGTTCCGGGTCCCGACAGGCCAGCCGATAGAATCCGCATCTTCCTTCGCGGAAAAAGGAGGGCTACCAGGCACGCATCGGCGATCCATGGGCGATCGGGGGTCGAGGCGCCCTCCCCGAGCCTCCCCCCCTAACGCTGCCCCGAGCCTCCACCCCCTGACGCTCCCCCCCTCGGCTCTCTGGCGACCGTTCGGGACGATCCAGGTACCACCAGAGCGCTCTCGGCGAGGCGCAGGTGCCGGAAGGAATCCCGCGGCTCGAAGACCGCTGAGCACCGACAGAAACATCCGAACGCTACCCCTGATCCCCCCCCCAACGTTCCCCGTCTCACCATCCCGTCCCCCTCCTTCCCTAACGTCCTCCCGCCCCCCTCCTTCCCTAACGTCCCCACTCCTCCCCCGCTTTCCCTACAGTCGGCCTTGCTTGGACAGGACACGCGAGAGGACACAAGACCCTTCCGAGGGTCACATCGCCATGGGAGTGAAAGAAGGCACGTGTCGCGAGGCACAGGACACGAAAGTACCCTTGAGCTGGCAGGGTCGACCTGCTAATCCGGGCCGACTGTGACGTCCTCCCTCTCCTTCCCTGACGTCCTCCCTGACGTCCTCCCGAACAGGGCCGGACGCTCTCGTCGATCTCGGCCTCTGGGGGGCCCTTTGCGTGCACCGAGACCGCAGAACAACAAAAAAAACTCGGCCCGAGGAGCCGGCCCCGGGGAAGGGGGCCCACGATGCGGGGGAGGAGCAGTGGTGAAGCGGCAGAAGGAGGAGGAGGAGGAGGAGGAGGAGGAGGAGGAGGACCCAGAGGAGGAGCAGGAGGAAAAGGAGGAGGAGGAGGAGGACCCAGAGGAGGAAAAGGAGGAGGAGGAGGAGGACCCAGAGGAGGAGGAGGAGGAGGAGGAGGAGGAGGGAAAAGGAGGAGGAGGAGGAGGCGGAGGAGCACACCCGGGGCCCACGCCCCGCCCCGCGAAGCCCCTGAGCGGGCCTCCGGGAGATGCCCGCGGGCCTCCCATGGAGAGCCCAAAAGGAGGCCCAGCGGAGAGGCCTCCCGTCCACGACCCGGGCACGACCGCAGGCGTGGCCGAAAGCCACGCCGACGCGGACGACGGCGACGTCGCCGCCGCCGTCGCCGACGACGACGACGGCGCCATCGCCGCCGCCGTCGCCGACGACGACGACGGCGACGACGAGACGGCGAGGACGGCGACGACGACGACGACGGACGACGGCGGCGACGACGGCGACGACGAGACGACGGACGACGGCGGCGACGACGGCGACGACGAGACGACGAGACGACGACGACGACGACGACGACGACGACGACGACGACGATTCTCTGCTTGCTCGTGCTGTTCGTGCGTCGCTCTCATCAGCCGCACGATTGCACGGAATCGAGGGCGTCGAAGGCGACGCTGAGGTCGGGCATGTCCCCCGAGGGGCGGAATTCGGGGACGAAACATGGAAAAAGGGTCATAGAAAATGCACCAGAATGGTCAACAAATGTACAAGAAATCGTCCCCCGACTATTTTTTGACTGTTTTTGAACATTCCCCCTGTAGAGGGACACGCCCGACTTACAACACTTGATAATCCGAAGAAGCCTGCAAAACCACTCCAGCAGGGACCATTGGCATGCGCGCCGCGTCACCGCTCTCGATGCTGCGCGCCGCTTCGCCAAACTCCTGGGGAGCGGCTGGTGATGCGCAGCCTGCGTCCTCGTCGAGGACGAGGAGCCCGATCCCGAAGCCAAGCCCCGACGCCGCGCGGCGAGTCGGGACGTCAGAGGCAACCCTGCCGCCCGCCCGCCCCCTGGCCCGAACCCACCGCCAGACTCGAGCTCAACGGGAACATGCGGCCGACAAGATACCCAACAACCCAAGCATAAATCATTGAAACAAGCCATGTGTGGGGGCACGGGTTCAATGCTAGCCGCCGGCTGGATGCTCATGCCAGCCTGCGAGAGGCTAAAGGGCATGCTGGCACTGAACGCCCCCTTTGGGGGCGCACGTCCGAGACGAACACACACACACACACACACACAAGCACACGCACACATACAAGCACACACGCACGCACGCACGCACGCACGCACGCTCACGCTCACGCTCACGCACACGCACACGCACACGCACACGCACACGCACACGCACATGCACACGCACACGCACATATAGTACACCGATCTCGCAGTATGCTGTGAACTGTTAGGTCGGGCATGTCCCCCCCCCTACAGGCGGAGTTTGGAAGACGAGTGGGAAATAGTCAAACAAATACACCAGCATGGCACACAATAGGCAACAACATCGTCCCAAGGCTATCTTTTTGCTTACTGTTTGTCAACATGCCTCCTGTAGAGGGACACGCCCGACTTGACGTCAACTGCTCAGATGGTGTGGCAAGGGAGGCGCCCGCCGCCGAGCATCTGCTGCAAGGCTTCAAATCCTCGTCCGTCGCCCCTGGTGGGCCGACGCGCACATCATGGAAGTAGTTGTCTGTCAGGGCGTTCCTGTAGGGTTAGGTCGGGCATGTCTCGGGCCGGGCGAAAAGGGGGGATAGCAAAGGGGGGTGACAGAATCAGCTCGCGTAGCTGATTTTCCCGGCGCCTCCCGGCGCCTGAAGGCGCCAATGTATCGAGGAATGGGCCCGGCGGCGGGGCCGAAACCAGCTGCATGCAGCAGATTTCGTAACCCCCCCTTTCCCTATCCCCCCCTTCCGTTCGGCCCGAATGTCCTCCTGCAGGAGATCATTTTTTTATTCCGGCCGGTAACGCTCGTTACCCGGGGGGGGGGGGGGTCGTGCCCCCCGGGTAACGGTAACGCTTGGGCTGGGCGGGGTATGGCGAAGCAGGGGCGCTCTGCGATCGCCATAGTATGCGCGCGAGCAGCACTCTCTGCCTGAGAGCACCACAGTGGCTTGCGATTCGAGTACAAGCGCAAAGCCCGCCGCGTGGTCCCGGCACCACGCCCGCGCCCGCGCGCGCGACGACGATGATCGACGAGCGACGAGCGACGAGGTCGACGACGACGACGACGACGTTTGCCGCCTGTTTCGGCCTCCGGAGGCCGTTTTCGGGCGCCGTCGACGACGACGACGACGACGACGACGACGACGACGACGACGACGACGACGACGATTCGAGTACAAGCGCAAAGCCCGCAAGCACCAGCATCGCGCATGCGAGCGCCGCAATGGCCTGCGAGCGCCCACAGTGCGCCTGCGACCACCACACCACAGTGCGCATGCCTTCGGGCACCAGCATGTTGGAGGGGAAGACCGAGACCCCCCCCGCGTACGAGCGTTACCGTTACGGGGGGGGGGGGGGGGGGGAGAGGCCCGGGTAACGAGCGTTACCCCCCAGAGGATAAAAAAACAATCTCCAGGCGGATTTTGAACGAAAAACAAAACACACTCATACAAAATTCAACACATATCGAAAACATGCGCAAAACTCGTCCCAGGCTATTTTTTTTTACGATTTTTGAACAGTCCCCCTGTAGAGGGACAGGCCCGACGTAATCCTCGGGCCCAAGGTGGCCTGGCCAGGTACAGTGGCGGTGTACGGAAACAGTTGTTGGCTTCGCGACGGCTGCCCTGGGCAACCGTTGTCCCGCGTGCTCGCCGGGCGCGATGTTGTCCTCCTCGTCCCTGCTCCTCCCAACTCCTCCTCCTCTCCTCTTCCGGCTTGTCCGCGTCTGCCCGTCACCCGTTCTCGCCGCTGGGCTCCCTCTGGATGCTCCACACACAAAAGTAGAGATGCCGTTTGCGCATGCGCCGGGGGCAGGACCCGGGGCCCGCGC